CGCATATGCCCAGCGCCTGGGTCAAACGAATCGCTCGATCCCCGAATCTCGACCGCGCCATAGCACAACCGAGGAGCCTTACGAACGCGTTGACAGACACCACGAAGCCCCTATATTGGCTGTATACATGTGGACAAGACGAACAAGCGCTTGGGCAGCCAATTCGTCAATACAAGAGTCGCTCTATTCGTTATGCATATGTGCAGGGTGCCTGCTTTGGATCGTACACGGCCATGAACACTAAGCTGCTGTGGACGTCGGCATTCACTATCTCTCGTATCTTGCTCGAAACTGTCTATTATGTTGAATTGACGCTGATAGTCTCAAAATCAGTACTCCTTTGCAAGCACACGGTTGTTTCTTTTCGGTCAAACGACTGTTCGCATCGTGACTTCTCGGTGCTTTCATCCTCGACTACCACCTACTCGCACGCGCTCTACCTCTTGTACTGCTTCAATGACGGTGACGGTCTCATAACCCGCAATACTAACGCCTCTGGCACGTCTACCTCGACCTGACAGTTTCCTTCGCTCTTTGACTGTATCAAGGTAGCTGCCCAGCGCGCGAAGTGGCATACATGGACGATGGAGGTTCCAGAAACGCGACCACTTTGTCCCACATCTCCGAGACCAATGATAATCATCTTCTGGGTTGGAGATATAGTGGAAGCCCTGAAGATCTGACGCCACTCTTCAAGGCGGGACTCTATGAGACCGCCAAATCCAGCCCCCGCTAGATCAGGCATTGTGTAGCCTCCTTCATTCATGTCTCGTCCGCATCTGATTGAGCTGTCATGTCTTCCCAGTTCCGGCAATTCTGAAAGTATCCCCAACGGCGCCGATAAATCGACGTAGATCTTGCTCGGTGTTGAGATCTTTCCGACGATAGTCCCTGCTGATGTTGTAGAAGGACTTCCAGCCGTTTTCGGCATGAGTGAAGCTAGACTCTCTGGCGATTTCGCTTTCACCTCACATCTCCTGGTAATAGTGGATATGATCTCTTTCCGAATTGCTTTGGAACAGCAAAGAAGTGGCCAAGGCTTCGTGTTGCACATCGGTACTGCATAGATTACGGGGCTGTCGAAAACGTACAGCCATATCTCTTCTCGGAGTTCCAGCGGCAATACAGCGAAGTCATCCAAACTATTTTGAAACGTTGTTGAGTTCAGAGCTAATGATGTTCGGTCCATGTCGTTGTGCGGAGAACTCACTGTCGCAGAGTACGTTCCATTGATATGGAGAGAAGGGGTAAAGGGTTATAGTAGGAGCCTGACAGACTAACAGCTTAGTGAGTCTTGTAACCATGGTTATTGATTCTGCCCTAGGTTCCACTTAGATTTTGGTTGCAAACAAGTCTGCCGCTCCGTTCGCTCGCCAATGTTCATGCAGCAATGTCAACCACGGTACATGAGCAGGCCCTGCAAATGTCATCCATGGGCCAACCTCAATTCTACACGCACATTCTGATGTATAGCAGTTGCCGCATCGAATGGCAGGTTATTCGCAGCATCATTGCGCGATCGGGAGCTGACATGTATGAAGAGGCTCGGTATGACGCGATTGGTGGAGTGTGCTTGTTTCTCGTCCAATGATGATCATCATTCATGTTGAGTGGCTGATTACGGTCACCGGACCTTGGCAGCGCAGTGCCTCTTCTTCCCCACCATCATAGCTGACCGCGATGCCTAGGTATACGCGACATTTGACTGCACTCCACTCGCTGATAGGCAGCGCTCTGCGAAACCATCATTGATCCGGCGCGTCAGGTGACGTTCATCAACTACCTCCATCAAATGCGTCTTCTGCAGATCAGCAACGATGGCGACCTCAGCCTCGTCGAATATTTTGGAAACGACATTCCTCCATATGCCATTCTATCGCACACATGGGGTGCTGATGAGGAGGAGATCTCATTCAAGGACGTCAAAAAGAACCGTGCACGAAGCAAACCTTCCGGGTATCGCAAAGTTCGCTTTTGTGGAGAGGTAGCTCGGAGAAACGGCATCTCTTTCTTCTGGGTCGATACATGCTGCATCAAACAGGAGAGTAGCCAGGAGGTCGGTGAGGCCATCAACTCCATGTATCGATGGTACCACGATGCGGTCATTTGTTACGTGTATCTTACCGATGTTACCGTTGGAACCGCCACGCACGAGAACACAAGCTCTCAGCCAGAATGGGTCTCGGCTTTCCGAAACAGCAGGTGGTTTACTCGGGGCTGGACCCTCCAGGAGCTTCTTGCCCCTGTGTCTATCAGATTCTACTCTCAGGACGGCTATCGACTCGGAGATCGAATGACACTCTTGCCACAGATTCAATGGATCACTGGTATCCCTGAGGCAGCTCTCCGTGGAAGCTCACTGTCGGATTTTGCAGTCGAAGAACGAATCTCATGGGCACGCAAACGTATCACCAAGCGGGAAGAAGATGCCGCATACTCGTTGCTCGGGATTTTTAGCATCCATATGCCACTCATATATGGGGAGGGACGGAAGAATGCCTTGAAGAGACTACAGAGAGAAATAGTTATAGCTTCGAGAGATGAGCCACTTTCTCCTTTGCCGAGCTTATCCACTACGGTCTCTTCCAGCGCCACTACTCCGCAGCTGAGAGGTGCAAGTACCGGGCAAGCCTTTCCTCGAGTCTCAACCTCGCATGCGGTGTTCGATCTGCAATTCGTATTCAGGATCGACGAGATCAGGTCTGAACTTATTGAGGGAATGGGACCTACTCATAAAAGCATACGCGTCAATGGAGGCATCTTGGGAAAGTGGTGGATGTGTAGTTCGAGCATATATCAGATGGCAGAGCTACCTGCTGCGTTTACGCTCTACGACAGGGTCTCTATTTACTGCAGCTCAGGTACATATTATGTAGCGCAAGGCGGTAAGACCATCTCCCTACATCTTAAAATTTGTCACTGTATCGCAGCGTAATTCGCATTATCCGTATCTTCTACAACCACGGAGGATCTTTGCTGGATATTATAACATGTGCGCTGACTTTGTCCAATTCAGATGCGGCATGTCCGCCTATAGGAGAGGACAGTGAATGGCATGGTCTCAACTTTCGTCACAATGACGACGACTTCTCGACCAGTCTCGACCTACGCGGAATACACCCGACATTGAGATGCCGACGAGCTAGCTCTATGTGGCCTTGGGTTCTATTGCCAGAGGCCTATCATGGGCCTGTTGACACATCTCAACGATACGGGGGCCTAAGGGGTAGTCTGTCCATATTTCTTGCACTTCTAGCTCTTTCAGTCAGTCCGGACGAGCTCGAAGCGGTGATGCCAAAATTTCGGAACAACCGCCAGTGGCGATTACCTACGTATCAGAATGGAAGTATGTACGAAAGCACCCTCGCGCGCCATTCCGTCAATTAACGAGGACATAGGGATTGAGAATCGTGGTGTTATTGTGTACGTCTTCTGTGGTGTTGAACCAGGTAGTACGTCCATGGATCTTAAAACGTATGAGAACGGGTGGCACGGAAATTATTTCGATTGATGATATGGGGAGTCCATAGTGCCAGTAGTTCTCCAGCAGAGCTTTCGTGGTCTTTCCACTATCATGAACGCTCATCCATGGCAAGTGCGTCCACTCATGGTTAAAAATTGCAATTCACCAGCACGGTGCTCACGCCTCCTCAATGTGACTAGTAAGATAGTCTCTTTCCTACCGATGCACCGGGGATTTGGCTCTGTTCCAAGTTGCAAGACTTGTCACATCGCAGACGCTTTCTTAGTCGCCCAGCTTTCATCGTGGTGCTCACAGTTGTTTTCTTAGCGATGCTAGATACCACAAGTGAAATGCTACATACTCAATCGTGGACAGAATCTTGCGAGATTTCGCACACATACTTCGACAGTCATAATGCGCAAGGCCCGAAAATCCCTAGGCAACAATACATGCAAGAGCTCGTCGACGCTAGGAAAAGCAGTGCAAACCCCGCCTCATCCACATCATGAAATGCAAGGGTATACCCGTGCGCTCTCCCGTTGATTGGACAATCACAGTATACCCCACCTCAAACATGACGTCCTTCGAGATAACGAGGAAGGCGCCATCAGGTGGCTGTGCAGGCACAGCCACGCTCCGTACATCTCATCCACGCTAAGAATTGCAGTGCACCTTGCGTTGAGATGGTAAGCCAGAAGTCTCAGGCTCTCACTGCTGACACGAGACGAAAGCACAGCTCGTGCGCGCTAGAGAATGCAGTGCATTGAAAGTCGATTGGGTCCTGGAAGCGCTTCGCTGACATGGGTGAACAAGACAGGCCGGCTCGTTCACGCTAGAGATCGCAGTGCACGTTGGCCCACAGCTGAAACGTGCATATCGTGCTAGAGCGCATGCGCAGATACCAGCTTTGTGCGAAATGTATCAAGTGCTGTCAGATCAGATGAAATAGAACAGAAAGGGTAGTCCTCAGTACTAAAGTGCTTTCCATGATCGCCGATGAAGAAAGAACAAAGTCATGAAGCGCGCTACATGTGCTGACAACCAGGAAGCCATCTCGCAACTATTACGGCCTAGCAACCTAGGAAAAAACTGAACAGATACGCTGCAATCTGCAGCAACACAAAATTCAGGAAGTAGAAAATCTCAAGAGAATGGAGACTTCAAGCTTGTTTACCACAATCATCTATCACAATGGTGCGTGGTTCAGAATTTCCCTTCGGATTGGGGTAATATAATATAGGGGAAGAAGAATTCAACGCCTACACCATACCCATATTAACGCCTATCCATATGTAACCCATCCGGGCCTGACCCATCCATGTCTCATTCTAAGCATAAAAACTCCTTGACCCCTATTCCCATACCGTACATCCTGTATACATCCACCTCATACAGGAAAAAAACTGCACAGCTCTGCAGACTACATTGACCCAAAACCTTCCAAAGTAGGTGATCCAACGTCAACGTAGGCTCCACGCTGTTCAGCTTCTCCCTAGGTTGGCGTGCATCGTTGAACGAGAGTAATGCCCTTACGAGACTAGGCCGCGTAGTACAACTTTATAGAGCTCAACACTCGCTTCCTGCACACGGGGCAAGTCTGCACTTCCCGTGCGCACGGCAGGCAAGCAACCACATGACCGCAGTCATAGAAAGCAGCTTCGGCGTCACCTTCCCAGCAAATCCTGCAGAGTTTCTCCGATTCTTGAGCGTTCTTCCAGTGCGTAACGCCCTCGCCGAACTTCTTGTCGTTCTGCCACCCGCCTACATATGTGTTGCCACTGGCGGCCTCGACATAAGTCCCAGTGCCGTGCTGCTGGTTGTCGACCCAGTCACCATCGTACGTGTCGCCGTTCTGGAAGGTGTATAAACCATGACCGTAGCGTTGGCCTAGGCGGAGGGAGCCGCTATATGTAGCGCCAGAGTGATATATTCTAGTACCATGGCCATGGGGATAGCCATTCAGAACTTCGCCTTTGTAGTACTCGCTCGAGAAATAGTCGTAGGTGAAGTGGCCTTGTAACTTGTGTGGGAAGTTGCGAGCGAAAGCGCGGAACTGGAGGTAGGATTGAGGGTCTGCCAGGGCAGCGCGAGCGGCGAGTTCGTTACGCTTATCAGCCGAGAGCGGTAACGAAACGATGATGATACACGCGTTGTGTAGATCCACTTGCGCAAAGGTACGGCGATGCTTCAGTGATCGCGTGTTAGTCAGCTCGTCCTCCTCCCACATCTCCATCTTCTTCTTGTCTTCCGTTGGAATTTCAAGCAATGCCACGATCGTGTCATCCAATCTAGCAGACTTAAGCGTAGTATGCGATCCACGAGCTTCTAGGGCTTGCTTTTCCGCGTTCCAGAATTTGAGAAAGAAATAAATCTCATCTGGAGGTGGTTCAGGAGTGGGGTTGCGCACTGGTGGGGGTGGTTGTAGAGGTTCCGCAGGTGTATCAACCGGCGGAGGTGGAGGTGGTGGCAGCAGCATATCCTCTTGTGTGCCACCCATCTCGGTGTCGCTGGGACCGGCACCTGGGATTACAACATCAACAGCCGGTGGATCAACGGCTGGAGTTGACTCCACTTCCAGCATAGCAGTATCGTTGCGTTGTTCTGAAGGCGCAACAGCGGGCTCATCAGGGTCGCTCATAAGCGTATCCTCCGAATGTGAAGTCATCTGCGGTGGTGGTGGCGGCGGGGTACTGGAAGGCTCGATTACGGTCTCGACAACTTGGATGATATCTGCCGCAACTTCACCCGCCTGGAGCGATGGAGCCTCTGGAGCCTCTTTCTCCTCTTTCGGGAGCTCAGGCAGCTTCTCGAAGTCGGTGACGTGTACCCAGATGCTCCGGTAATCTGGCGACTCCAGAGTCCACTCCTTGGCATCTATGTGCGGGCTGTAGCTACCGGCTGAAAACTCAATGAGTCCAGTACCGAGGAGGTTCGGTCGGTCCAGAGATCCTTGCGTGGGATCTAGAAACCAAAACTTTATCTGTCGTGGGTCCTTGACGTTCTTCAAAAGGCCGAACAACTTTTGGCGAATTTCTTTGCATCCGTCATTGCTTGATAGCGTCAATGTGTGGATGAGCTCTGAGCCTTCGCACTTCGCATCAAAGAAATCGAATATACCTGGACCTTCGTGCTCTAGGTATACTCGTGAATCAACTACGCGAAAATCGAGTGTCTTGGGTGGCTGCGCTGTGACCTTCTCTGCCTTCTCTTCATCTATCGCAGAGTTCGGCTCATGCGTTGGTAATGATGGCATTGGAGGAAGAGAAGATTGGTTCTTCTTGGCCTCTACTTCCAGCTTGAGCCACTCCGGGACATCCCACTGCTCGGATTTGGCGTCTGATACGAATACCGACTGAGCTACATCGTCTCGCACATACATGGCAATGTATGCCACGGCGTCGTTGCCAGTAATCTGAGTACTACTAGGCTTGCCTTCATGCGCATCGACTGCCTCGCGCTTGGGAAGGCACTTGACTTGGCTCTCGTCTTTGCTATCACTGTAGATATACCATCGTGAACCAGGGCCTTCGGGTCGAAGTATGGGCTGGTATATATAGGACTGAAGTGTTTGCTTATGCACAACAAATCCATACAGTGTGTAGGGAGTGTCACCAACTGATATCCGGTCGTCAAGGGTCACTTTGTTCAGTACCTTGATGTGCGAACGCGTCTTCGCGCTGTCGAATTTGTGCCGGTCCAGCTCGATTGTCAACAACTCCGGCAGAGGCTGTCCAGGTATAGTGAAATCAGCCGATTCGTTGACAGCGCGCTGCATACTTTCCACACCTTCCACAGGTACGCGGTAGCTGGGTCTCCCGATGGAATAGTCGCGCTTTGGTCCACATATGGCATTTAGCTGGGCGGCCTGAGGTGTCCCTTGAAGTTCTTCTTCGAGCTTTAGGCGCAAGACTTCCCAAGTCTCTATCACATCCAACTTGTGGAGGCCATCGTGTATGCGGTACCACTCTAGTGCATCCAGAATGCCATCAAGGGCGACTGGACCAGCTCCAGGCTCGACTTGAGTGCGAAGCGAGTATAGGACTTGCTGTAAAGCGTTGATGAGTGGCTTCGGTCGAGTGAAAGGCTCCTTGCTAGGGTCCGCAACGACGATGCTGTACAACAAGTTTCGAAAGGGCTTGAACAGCATCCACGAGGCAACCGCAGACATCATGTTCCCGCCGGGTGAAAGCATGAGAGCTTGCAGGCCCGTCATTGCAAAACTATCCCACGGATTCTCACGAATGGGATGCTCCCATAAACAATCCGTCTGGTCTTCTACGACCCGAATGTAGGCAGTGAAGGCAAGTTTGTCGTCACGAAGAAGCGCCATGCGCTGACCATGCTGACGACGAGAAATATCGTAGTGCGGTCCGTGGAAACGAGTCCAGCCCCAATCAGGAGATCCATTGCAGAAGCGATGTAAAGCATTACGCGAGTAGTTCACGCGAGGCTCTGTTGGGTTGTAGAGAACGACCGATATCTGCGCGGCAACGCTATTCCGCTTGGGCATTTGTTTCGATCCAAGAAGCGGAAGAGGCGAGTGTTGAGAGACGACTAGTGCGGTTGGTGCCTGGACGTCTTCCGACTTGGTGCTTTCACTGCGCTCTTGCGTAGACGTCTCTTGCTGAAGCGACACGCCTGTCGGATCGTCTGCTGGCGCATGTTCGGACATGACCATAGCTTCGTCAGCCTTCTTCTCTCCACTTGGCTCAGAGGCCTCTTCGCCGTGCATGTCTTTGCGCGCGTCCTCATTGTTGTCGTCCTTCGAGTCCTGAACGCTCAGGCATTCGAGATAGACGCTTAGATAATCTGAATCGTTCCCCTTAGGATAAAATTTGATCTGCCATTGGTGGCCCCCAATCGTGACGACATCAGACTTCATAAGCACTTCATGGTTCGGCTTTTCCTGGGTTCCATTATACGCGTCGATTGCCCAGTGGATACGTCCTGCTTCACCGGCGGTATACTCCGGGTGATCTAAAGGTTTGAACGCCTCGCTCTCCCAGTATTCGTGGTCTAGAGCACTGTGTTCACCCCTCTCCTCGATCATCTTCACTTCGTCCTCGTCAGGCGATGACAAGTCTTCTGGAAGTGCGTGCCACGGCGGGAGGCCATCGTCGTCGTCGTCGGATCCTGAATCAGAGCGAGGGGGGTCGACTGGTGGCGGCGGAGGCGGGGGCTGTGTGCTTGGATCGACAGGGGGAGGTAGTGCGTCGAGGTCTACGGGTGGAGGAGGCTCTATGGGAATGATGGTCGCTGTCTGAGGCAAGTTAGCACTGGTGCAGATACAAGCCAGTAGAAGACATTGTCATACCGTTTGCTCTGGCGCAGGCGATGTGGGTGAAGTAATAGTAGCTTCTTGTGCTTCAGCCGGGCTGTTCTGTGGTAACGGCTCCGTCTCGGCATCCGGTGTAACGTCCATAGCGTCCTCATTTATAGCCGAGATATCGACAGCGATGGTGTTCGTAGAAGCATCGCGATGGGTGGGCTCATCTCCATCTTGCATGTCTGCATCGCCCCGATCGTGGTTTTGGCCCGTAGAAGGCATTGTGTTCGCGGAAGTGGAGGTGCTCATGTTCGATTCGGCTGCAGGCGGTGGCGGCGGCGGTGGAGGAGAAGCTGGCGTCTGCGCATGAAGTACGGGGTTTGGTGAGTGTGGCGGGCTGGAGAGCTGCTGGCTAAAGTGCAGTGGTGGCTCTACGCTGACGCTCATGTTTGCTGCAGCGGTAGAGGCGCATGTGAAAGTGGAGAGCGGGCGTTTGACGGGCGGGAGTGCAGGTAAAGCTGGGTAAAAGTACAAATGGAGAGATGAGTGAGAGGAGATATGCACGAGGCTGCACGACAGTGGTGTGTTGCTTTTATCGGTGAGTGCAGCAGGCTAGTAGCGTTATCGCGTCGACGAGGGTGTATGGATACAATGAGCAACTGACGTGTGCTTCTGGAGATATGGCTCGCGACTGTAGAAATTGGAGTTGGAGAAGAAGGAAAGATAACCTGGGCGTGGCTGGAGCTTGACAAGGCTGCAGCCTACCAGCATGCGGCACGATTGCCAACAGAGGTACAGAGTGAGGCGGTAAAGCTACCTCCAGGGCTGGGAATCGGCTGGCCCACGCGCTGCGCTATCCCGAATCGAAGGAGCTTTGGCGTCAGCGCCTTCAACCGGGAGGCTCTGCGCCCTTTACAGCCTCTCCGACGACGCGCTTCAGAGGTTGACTCATCGCACAAGGCTGCGCGGACAAGGCGCATTCGTCGTCATCACGGAGCTCTCAGCTCCCTTATCGATTAACCTCCACAGTGACCGGCTAGGCAGTCACGCTAGAGCTTTGAGACTAGTGGGGAAGGTGGGCCCGTCCGCGCCTTCCCTGCGTCCGCTCTCCGCACCAACAACGTTGCTCCATACAGCAGTCGTCCTTACATGCCAGCCCACTTATTCCGGTCAATCAACAACATGGTCTTTATTGCACGAGCTATTGGAGTGCTGCATGGCGTATAGCGCCTGTTGTTATTGCCCTTGCGACCTTTGGACCCGTGCGAAAGTGGCCGCAACAATGAGCGGAAACACCACCGTCGCCTCTGCGTACACCTTCACGCTATCTCCGTCTAGCTTAATCTTTCCCCAGCTGACAGCTTCGTCTGGCCGTGCGCCTGCATCACTCCCGTCAAATTCTTGCGCAGTGTTGATGTACACCGCGCTGTCAGCTCCGTTGCGCATCAGGTTCGCATTGGCGATGTGATGCTTCACCAGTCCTCCGCCCAGGACAATCATGCCCGTCCTCTTCGCTCTCACGGCGATTGTGTTTATTCTTCTAATGTCCTCTACAATATCGACGCGCAGCTGCTCTGGTGATGACTTGAATGTGTGGAAGTACAGCATGTCGCCCAGGCTTCCGTCTGTCAGCGCTGGGCAGAAGACGGGGATGTCGTTCTTCCACGCCCAGTAGTAGACCGATCGCTCGTCGTTGATTTCCTTGCCTAGACGATGGATGACCTTGCTAGGCGTCCAGTGCAAGGGCTCGTCAGTTTTCTTGCTCGCTTCCTGCTCCTCCAGCATCTTGTCCAGGATCGGCACTACCCAGTCCTCGAACGCGCAGTAGTTGCTGTTAGGCACGACAAGATTACCGATGCGGTTCATGCCCTTTTGGCGCAGTCCAGCCCCGGGAGTGGAGAAAGCACCGAGGTATGTCGGCGCGAGGCATTTGATGAAGTCCTCCTCGACGCCGCCTGCAGTCGTCACGATGGCAGAAACGTGTTTGTGCTGGACCAGGTACCGCAGCGTCTCGCGCAGTCCCGAGGATATCAGATTTGACGTGTACCCAAGGAATATCGTCGTGGGCTCCTTGGTCTCAGGGTCTCTCCATGCGCGCTGTTATCTGTTAGCAGCGAACCCAAGCTTCTCGATGCGGTGGTGGTGTCGCGTCGCCAAATCAGGCTAAATGTTTCGCCTTTCGGGACTGCGCACGGACGGGAGATTCCCGGCATACGCAAGTGCTGTCTCCGCACTTGACGCTGACACGCCGCAGCGGCGCAGCACGCGCATTCGGATATTCCGGGCAGAAGCAACTCACCATGTCGTTGATGATGCGTACAGCCTCTCCCACCGAAGTCGCCTGAAAGCCCATGTTGGCATAGCCGCCCACCAGCTCCTCGACGGTGATGCTGCGCGACGCATACTGGTTGAAGTCGATGCCCTGCACCTCTTGCGCACCCTCAGGCACGGGCTCGGATGGCTTCAAGACTGCATCAGTGGCGCCGGTAGGGGCCGAAGAGTTGCTAGCCATGGCAGTGGGCAGTCTCGGTTGGGCAGTCGCTGCAGCGGCGCTGTCGCGATGTTCTGGCGCGTCGTCGGGCTTCTCGGCGTACTCTGGACGGTTGCAACTCTCGTACTGTGCTATTTGTGAGTCGGTGCGGCGGCAGATTTTGAGGAAAAAGAAGCCCCCACACCTGGGCACCCGTGGATTGGAGCTAAGGCATGGCAGTCTAATCCCTGCTCGTGTGAGGCTAGTTCTCGGGTCGATCCAGCTAAGGAGACTGCCAGCCCTTTGCCATCAACGTGTGGGAGGGCCACGGTGTCGCATCATCGCACAATGCTCCCGCCAGTCCTCCAGGCGTGCATCGTGTCCAGCACCTGCCGTGCAGCCGTGTCTGTCCGTGTTGGTGAAGGGGCCCGGGCTGGGATCGTCACCAAATCCCCTAGTGGAGCCAGGGCTGGAATCTGAAGCAAAACCAGCGGCTGCCCACCCCTGCAGATAATCGAAATGTCCAACTGTGGACCAATCAGAGGCCGGCTGTCATGTCTGGATGGATTCCCCTCGCTAGGCCGTTGCAGGCCAGCCGGGGCGTCCATTTTGACTTGCAGGCATCCGTCATGGCTGGGTGTGTCAGTGCTTCGTTCGTGTTCTGGTCTCCTCGACGTTCCCTTTCTCATCATCACACCTACCTTGCGACAACGACCCTCTCCACGACACTATGCTGCCACGGCCCAGCGGCGCACAGCCTGGCTAAAGAGCCACTCCATTCTTCGTTTCCAGCATCGACAAGGTGCTGCCTCACGTGCCTAGGCCTCCCTCACAAAGAGACCCAGCGCCACGTCAACGGGCTGCAGAGCATCTTCAACACGGCGCCAGACTGCCTTTGTTGACCGCTGCGCGCTTCTCACACTTTCCAGTATCTCCAGACGACTTTGCCTGACCTCCAGGGCCAGTTTGACGCGTTTACGGCACGAAACGGGCGTTTTGGGCGTAAAGGCGACAATAGCAGATCGAATCTCAGCTCCCGGCGCCGAGCAGCTGCACCTGTTCCACCACGGATCGGGGTTTGGCGCTTTCCCTAATTCCCTGGTTTCGAAGCACGGGCCTTGCCGCTAGCGCCTCGTCTACCACGGCTTGCAAACACGAACCTCGACTGACACCCTGTGGTTGACGTCAACCTGGGACACAACAATTCGCCGGCCAATCGCGCGATCACTCTTGAGATTACACACAGCGGTACATCAAAGGAACCCTTTTTCTTTTCTGCACCATCCGTTTGCTACGACCACTGCACGCGATCCGGGCCTGCTCTTACGACCGAGATTTCCAATCCGCTTTGACATACGACCTTTACCTGTGCCCATGCCGCAGTCGCAAGTTCTTTGTACAGTAAGCAACCACCAACATGTCTGCTTCACGGTATCCGGAAAACGGCAGATATCCCCGCGACAGATCGCCGCCCTACCGGGATCGAGATCGAAGACCATCCAACTTTAGTAGCGGTTACCCCCCAAGGGGTAACGAAACCTTTAGACCAAATACAGAGCCTGGCGGCTTCTCAAGAGAAGTTCCGAAAGGCCCAAAATCTCTTTCCGATGCGCCACGTGGCCCGCCAGTGGGTCCACCATCAAGTGCATCTGCAGCGCCACGCGATGATAGAAGCCGAGGATTTGCTGGTCGAGGTGAAGCTACACCACTACGTACTGCGCCACCATTAAGCAGCGGTCCTGGGTTTCCGCACAACTCCCAAAATTCCTGGAGGGCAGATCGTGACCGAGACCGCGACTTTGATCGGCGCGAGCGACGGCCGACCCCACCAAGGCGCTCACCTATCCGGGACTCAAGAGATCCGCGCGATCAGAGGGACTTTGTACCGCGAGATTTGGATGTCAATCGCGCACGACGAAACTCACGAGACGGCCCCCCTTCCGCTGGTTCCACCTACTCTGACCCCCCACTCCCCGGTACAGCTTCATCGTATCGTGGCGGAGGCATTGGCCGAGGACGAGGCGGATTTTCTGGGCGCGGTCGAAACTTCCACAACGATGACCGGGAAAGACACCACGACTCACGTGATCGCATTCCGGAACGGACATATCGGCCGCGGAGTCGGACACCCCCAAGGCGCCAGGAGCGAGACATTCGGGAAGATCGCGATTTTGACAGGAGAGAACGTGACGATCGAAGGTTCCCCAGAGAGTACGACTCCTACATCGGCCCAGCAGGTGCTGCGAAACCAGGACTACGGGCGTTGGACACACACCGAGGTCCGGGCCCTTCTGATCTGAGGCATCTGCCTGGTACGCCTACGGGGCCAACCCCACACTCAGCTCACCATGCCTCTCCGTCCGACAGGTTAGGGCCTCAGGGAGACACTTACTCAAGACGATCTTCTGTTGCTATCGATCCTCTCTCTGCCAAGGATCCTCGGCGGGAGCCAGGGAAAGACGAGGCTCTCCTGGCCAGCCGCGCTGAAGCGTCCAGGGAGAGGTACGCTCCGCGTGCTTCATCGCCTCCTGCTTCCATTCCAGCCTTCGGTGGGTCCAATGTTTGGAGGGCGCCCATCTCTGACAACAAGCCAAGCGCTGCGACAGTAGCACCACCGAAGCCTGCTCAGCCTACTCCTGTTTCTACTACTAACACCTCTGTCGGTCCTGCCACACCTGCTGCTCCTGTTACTCCTGTGAAGGCGGCAGTAATCCCAACTGCACCAAAGGCAACCATTCCCCCAGGCCTCTCGACACTACCACCCACTGGGCCAAAAGCTGACCGGGCGCCGGATCGTCCGCTGCTTGGAGAGGTACCAAAGCAAGAGAGCAGAGTGTCTCACCCGGCTCCAACACGTATGGAACCACCTTCTATTCCTCCTACTGTTGTTCCATCTCAGGTCACTGATGTACCAGGCTCAGACAATGTAACTGCCAAGGTCCCGATCTCGCCCCAAATGGCTGCGCCCCCTAAAGCT